CGTCTAGCTCAAGGTGCAGCTCTAGCTGAAGCTCTACGTGTAGAAGAAGCTCTAAGTGTAGAAGCAGCTGTACTTGAAGCTCTGTAGCTTGAGCTGCAGCTGCAGATCGAGCTTCAACTGCAGCTTGTGCTGTGGCCGTTGCTAGTCTCGAATTCAAGGAAAAGGAAAAAGAAGCTGAACTTGAACTAACAATTGAGGGGGCTAGAGGAGGGGTATAGCTATACCAAGCTCAAGCCTGATCACTTGATACTTGAATTTATACCTTTTGTATATGTGATTATTAGTTTGCAGATGCAAGATGCCTGCGTGCTCCCTGAGAACAATTTCATTGCCCCCTGCGTAGGCCAATAATTTGATATGGCTGATATTTTTTCCTTTGTATCCATCGGATACTGAATCTTGGATTTTTGGTGCTGATGGCAGTATGTTTTTATTTGACATATAACATGTTGATGCTTGCTTTGCTTTTATTCTATTTTTTTTCCTTAAATAGGAACGGAATGAGAAAACTTTTTAAATTCACTAAAGTAAAAAATTAATAAATCAAAGTTAGGACTAGATCTAGATGTTCCAAAGTAATTTAAAATTTTATTTTCTCAACATTATAATATGATTAAGTATAATGTTTGATTTGAGTGCAAGGGAAACAATTTTTCTATTTAATCATTAGAAAATGAGGGTAGGAGAGGAAACGGGAGTTATTTATTTTATGGTTTACTAAAATTCTTTTAACTTATTGAAGACTTGGGCTTGGCAACAAGATGCCCATATCTACAGAAGCGGTAATGGGCCTCCTTCAAGAGTCGAGTAATCGCTACAACAAACAGCTAATAATACCGAGGACTAGTCCTCCGCCTGAAGGATTGAGTGGCACCACCCTGTCCCAAAAGGTGTGAACGCCGCTGAGGGTTTAATTTTCGACCCCTGCTCTCGGTTCCCCTTACTCCTAAAAATATAAAAATATACAGATATGTTTTTATTAATCAAACCAGGCAAGAATAATTATTTTTCTGCAATGTAAAATAATAATTTTAACAACAAAAATAAAAATTCAACCATATATATTAAACAACTCACAAAAAAGTACAAGAGTTTTAATTTTAACATAAAAAAATTTAGCTAATAAGTAGGTGTTTAATAATAATCTCTTTTTAATGAAAATAAATATCTTAAATTTGAGTTGTATTTAAGAAATGAGAGATTATTACCTTATATTGTGTAATTTATAATTAAAATAAGAAAAAACATAAAAACGACATAGAAAAATAGAGGATGGCTTACCGGAATGAACTGAGCAAAAATTAAGACCAAAAGGATAGTTTATATATATATATATATATATATATACATATATGTATGTATATATTAATTTTTAAGGAGAGGAGGCTGCTGTGGGGTAGTTTTGAAAAAGAAAAATATTGTTTTTAAAATTATGGGTAAAAGTGTACTCTACATTAAAATGCAGTAATAATTCTATTTTTACGTATTTTTGGAATTTAACTTTTTTTTTTATTTAAAATTATATAAAGATTTAAAAGAATGCCAGTAAATTCTTTATTTTTTAAATATTATAATTTTTAAAAAATGGGATAAAAAAAACTCTCAAACTTTAACTGAATACGTTATAAATAATACTACTTTCACCCACCCATAAGCTGTTAGCCCAGATGGCAACCCAAGAGGGAGGTGAATTGGGTTTCAAAAACCTTATGCAATTTTTGAATAAAGCAATGATCAAGCACAAGCAATCAATAAGCTATTGCAAACTAAATTGCAAGAATTAAAAGAGTAGGGTAAAAAATATGAAACGCTTCGATTTATCCTAGTTCATCACCTTCTTTGGTGCCTACATCCAATTCTCGAGTTTTCTACGCTTGAGATTTAATCCACTAACACTAATTCCAACAGGTGCTAGTGAAACCGATTACAGTAGCTTGCTGATGCTATCAACTGTTCGAATCCTTGTTACAAATCTCTCAACTCGTCCTATACCTCAAGAATGAATTCCTAAATCTAAAAAGGTTTCCCCAATCCCTTTTTCACTTGTTACAATGAAAGAGAACAAGCAAAGTAAGAGAATTCTCAAAACACAAGGTAAAAGCTTAACGCTCTTGGTTTTCAATTTCAAGGCTCTGTTCTCTTTCTTCTCTACTCTTCTCGATCTGATTTTGTATTACTTGAGAGTGCTAAATCAATGCTTTTTACTGTTGGAGAATATTTTGCATAAATACTTCAAAAACTTAGAATTATACAGCAGAATGCACTTTCCATTTTTGGTTCCTCACAACAAGGAAACATAATCATACAATTAAATGAACTTTCTCTAAAAAGGAAACACATTCAAATTAAATATTTGACAATAAATCATATATTCACAATTAACTTTCAATCCAAATCAATAACATATCCTAATTTACTGGCAAATAAAATAAATATTCTAATCCACATTTGGTTTTTTTAAATCATCAAAATCAAGAATAACATTCTCTCCCTTTATGAGATGACAAAACCAAATGTGCACATCTAAAACAAGCAATGCATAAAATATCAACTTTCAAAGAAAATATGCATAAAGAGATTAAGTTTAAGAAAATCTCCCCCTTAATCCATGCATATCTCTCTCCTTAGTCCATGCACTAGTTCACTTGTGCTTTGAAGCTTGAATCTTGAATTTGCACATTTGACTCCTTCTCCCCCTTTTCGTCATAATCAAAAAAGCAGTCCAAGTGTTTTGCTCAAGCAACTTAATGCAAAATCATTAGTGCAATAAAGCAAGGAACTCACATAGCAACAATTAACTCAAATCATAAAAACAGTGTTATAACTAGAAAAAGTGTCCCACAAGACTAGCATATAATGTGCATAAAAGAAAAAAGTTTTATAAAAAAAATGTAGAGGTAGCAATATTCCATGAGGCATTTAAGCATCAGAGGAAGATGAGGAGGCGAGGAGATATCAATTTTTTCTCGGATCTTTTGAACTTCATTCCATAGTTTCTGTACCTCTTTCAGCACTTTTGACAACAAGTTTGTCTTTGGTTCAGCCTCCTTCAGAGATTCTGGTCTTCTAGAAGTGTCCCTTAGTTCTGTTTTTCTGATCCACTGTCCAGATTCATCCTGCATAAAGCCTATCAACCTAACAGAAGTAGCACCAATTTTGTTACCAATAGGATGAGATTTTTCTTCATTGATGTCTCCTATTTCCAAGTTCAGAAGCTTAGTCACTAGATTCCCATATGGCAATGCAGCACCATCATCTGTTTTTATAATGGTTTTCATGTGCCCGATTATAACCTTACTCAAGTTGGGTGGATTTTTAGTAACAATTCGATACATCAACCAAAGATCCTCATGAGTGATGGAGGAGTGTTTCCCACTTCTTGGGGTGATGGTATGAGTGATAATCAAATGCAGCAATCTCATGTGCAATGGCAATCTATTAGTGTCAAAGCGTTCACAAGCTAAGGATTTATCTTGAAAGACAACTCTAGAGGCCTCAACAAAATTGAATTGCTTATCTTCAACAAAAGTTTCACTGCCTACTGTTCTGACTATAATTCTACTGATCTTCCCCGGATTCACTTCAATGTTTTTACCCCTCACATAAGTTGAAAATTTGTAATCCTTATCATGTCCTTGGGGCATCATATTAAAATAAAATATTTTGCTAAGAAATCGATAATATGGCCTATTCAAGCTTAGAAATTTTTCCCACTGCCATTCTTCAAAATAAGCAAGAAAAGGAAACTCCATACCAATGAGAAAATCATCATCAGTTTGTCTCCCAAAAAGAACTCTACGAGCTGCAAACGGTTTCCCCCAAGTCTAAGATGGTCCTGAAGGTTTGCCATTGGTAAATCGAAGACTATGTTGATAGTTTTTGAAATTAGCATGATCATAAGGCGGGCTCACTGCTTCTTGGTCCGAGGCTGTGCTCTATTTAGCTTCCATCTGTTTTCTCTTCTAGGCAACCTTGGAACTGGTGATTCTGCATTTGGGAGGCATCATGCAGTTCCAAATCTGGTATATGCCCTGAGATTTTAGCAATTTATGACCCGAGTTTTCTGTGGATATGCCGACGACGCCTTGTACTGAGGAGGCTGAGGCGAGGTGCTATGGGAAGAGATGGTGGCTTTCTAGGTTCCCGTTGGCGAGGTTTCTCACGATGGTGTGGCGGTGAGGCTTTTGGGTTCTTGCTGGAAGGGTTTCATCGTGGAGAAAGGTGTGGTGATTGGGATGATGGTGCGACAAGGGTGGTGGTATTGCTGAGAGTGCTGCGGCGGTGGGGCTTCTCACAGTTTGGACTTGGATTGCAGATGGATGTTGTTGCTGTTTAAGGGGAGTGAGTGGGCTAATGGGCTGGGTAGGTTAGGCTTGGCCCAAGGTAAGTTTTAGGTAGATGGGTTTCAGGTGGGCTAAAAAAAAAAAAATTGGCCTATGGGGGTTCCGACCCCTGCTGAAGGGTGCGGAATCCCTGATGATTCTATCCCTTTTTTTTTTACACCAAGGGAGGTTCTGACTCCTTCTAGGCGGTGCGGAACCCGTGATGATTCTTCCCCCTTTTATTGCTGTTAGTTTGTAGCTCAGGTGTCGACACCTATTAGTTAGGTTTTAACACTTGCATAGACTTTTCAACATCTAAAGAGTGTGAGCTATTTTTAAATAAAACATCAACCACATCAAATAATCATATAATATGGAATTTGATCAACATATAAATAGAGCATCCATATAATTAACCTTTATTTTACTTGATAAATAGTCCATAAACATCTAATTTAGGGGATTGAGCATACCTAATTCTCGAGTGAGCCTCCAAAATTGATCTTCACTTAAGGGCTTAGTAAAAATATTAGATAATTGATTATTGGTAGCAATAAACTCAAGAGAGATATCACCATTTTGAACATGATCAAGTATGAAATGATGCCTAATCTCTATCTGCTTGGTCCTAGAATGCTGAATGGGATTTCTAGTTAGGTTTCTGGCACTAGTGTTGTCACACTTAATAGGAATTTTTGAAAAGCTTAGTCTAAAATCCTGTAATTGTTGTTTCATCCAAATAATTTATGCAACACAACTAGCTGCTACAATATATTCTACTTTTGCAGTGGACAATGCTACAGAGTTTTGTTTTTTGGAAAACCATGAGACAAGTGCATTACCAAGAAATTCACACGATCCACTTGTGCTTTTCCTATCCACTTTGCAACCAGCAAAGTCGACATTAGAATAGCCTAAGAGATCAAATGTCATTCCTTTGACGTACCATAAACCCATACAAGTAGTGCCCTTTAAATATTTAAAAACTCTCTTTACAACTAAATGATGTGACTCTTTAGGAGATGCTTGAAATCATGCACAAAGACATACACTAAATATGATGACAGGTCTAGATGCAGTTAAGTATAGCAAAGAGCCTATCATGCTTTTATACAGTTTTTTATCAAAATCCTTACCTTGTTCATCCTTATCAAGCTTAAGAGTTGTACTCATTGGAGTGCTTGCTATCTTGGAGTTATTCATCCCAAATTTCTTGAGCAATTCCTTTGTGTACTTTGCTTGATGGATGAATATGCTGTCTTTGGTTTGCTTGATTTGTAATCCAAGGAAGAAATTGAGTTCTCCCATCATACTTATTTCAAACCTACCCTGTATTACTTTAGAGAATTTCTCACAAAAAACCTCATTAGTATAACCAAAAATTATATCATCAACATAAATTTGCGCTATAAGCATGTCAGATTGCTCATGTTTAATAAATAGTGTAGTGTCAACTTTACCTCTTTTGAACCCTTTTTCAATGAGAAAACCACTTAACCTTTCATAGCATGCTCGTGGAGCTTGCTTGAGTCCATAAAGTGTTTTAGAAAGTTTGTACACATGATCTGGATAGTGAGGATCTTCAAATGCAGGTGGTTGTTCCACATATACTTCTTCCTTGATGTAACCATTGAGGAATGCACTTTTTACATCCATTTGATAAAGTTTTATATTCATGTGAGCTGCAAATGCGCATAACATTCGAATTGCTTCCAATCTTGCTACAGGTGCATATGTTTCATCATAGTCAATTCCTTCCTCTTGGCTATATCCTTTAGCAACTAACCTGGCTTTATTCCTTATCACATCACCATTCTCATCAAGTTTGTTTCTAAAGACCCATTTTGTCCCAATGGTAGGATGATCGTTGGGTCTTGGTACAAGAGTCCAAACCTTATTCCTTTAGAATTGGTTTAGTTCTTCTTGCATTGCCATGATCCAATTTTCATCATTTAGGGCATCATTCACACTGTTGGGCTCAATTTGGGATATAAAGGCATAATTAGCATGAAAATAAAGTTGAGATCTAGTAAGTACTCCCAAGTTTATATCTCCTATGATTTGCTCTTTTGGATGGTCTTTTTTGAACTTCCAATCCGCCGATAGCTCATGGTCCTCAATAATCTCATCTTCTTATTTAGGTTTATCTTCACATTTGGGTTGCTATATTTTATCTTCAAGCTTGCCTGCATCATCATCAAAATCCTCCTTTCTCGGGGTGAGACTTTCTTTCATCAAAAGTAACATAAATGGATTCTTCAACAACTAGAGTCCTTTTGTTATAAACTCTATATGCCTTACTAGTTAAAGAATAGCCAAGAAAAATACCTTCATCACTTTTTGGATCAAACTTACTAAGTGAGCTCTTACCATTGTTCAAAATGAAACACTTACATCCAAATGCATGAAAATATGAGATGTTAGGCTTTCTACCCTTTTATAGCTCATATGGAGTCTTATTGAGTATAGGCCTAATGAGAACTCTATTTAGAATATAGCAAAGGTGTTAACAGCCTCAGCCCACAATTATTTGAGCAAATGACCTTCACACAGCATTGTTCTTGCCATTTCTTGTAGAGTCTTGTTCTTTCTCTCAACAACTCCATTTTGTTGTGGAGTTTTAGGAGAAGAGAAATTATGCTCAATGCCATGCTCTTCACAAAAGGCTTTCATGTCATGATTTTCGAATTCTCCTTCATGATCACTTCTAATGCATGAAATCATAAAGCCTTTTTCATTTTGCACCTTCTTGCAAAAATTTGAAAACTCATGAAGGATATCATTTTTATGTGCAAGAAATAATGTCCATGTGAATCTAGTGTAATCATCAACAATGACCAAGGTATACCTCTTATCGCTCAAGCTGTAAATGTTAATAAAACCAAATAAGTCTAAACGTAATAGTTGCAGTGGCCTAGTGGTTGAAACAATATTCTTGGATTTAAATGATTCCTTGGTTTGTTTCCCTTGCTGACAAGCATCACACACCTTGTCCTTGTTAAAGGAGAGATTTGGCAAGCCATCAACTAAGTTCTTCTTACCAAGTTTCAATATTAGATCCATTGAAATATGACCCAACGTTCTATGCCACAATCAACTATCAACATTGCTATTTTGAGCTATTAAGCACTTAACATTGAAAGAAGACAAATCATCAAGGCTAATTTTGTAGATGTTTCCATGTCTTTTACCAATGAACTTGATTTGGTCATTTTTGAGATCAACTACTTTACATGCATGTGATTCAAAAATGATTTGAAAACCTTTATCACACAGTTGACTAATGCTCAACAAGTTATGCTTCAACCCATCAACTAGCCATACATTATCAATGGAAGAAGAAGTATTCTTACCTACTTTTCCCATTCCACAAATGCGTCCTTTGCATTGTCTTCAATGTTACAGTGCCCCATTCCCTTTCTTCAAAAGTGAGGAATTGGGATCTATCACCAGTCATGTTACCATTTGCTCTTGCTTTTCTTCTTTGTTTCTTTTACCTTTAGGTATTCCTGCAAACAAAAACTTAGAAGGTTAGTTTTGGTACCCAAGTTTTCTTGGGTACAGGAGTGTTAGTCAAGTTTGATATGGATCCTTTTGGAACCCATATCCATTTAGATCCATTTGATGCACCTCGTTTTATAAAGCATCTAGAAACATGATGACCTTTCCTACAACAATAGTGACATGTTATAGTATATCTCTTTTGAGTACTTGATTTTTCACCTTGATTTTGAAAGCTAGTAGATGAATCATGGCTAGCTTTCACAAATTTGGTGGTATATGTGTTAGATCCACCTGATCTCTTATACCCAATACCGGTTTTGATGCTAGTATTCCTTTGAGCATCTAAAATAGTTTGGAGTTTACTCCTACCCTCAATGAGTTTTGAAACCATGTTGTTTAAATCTCTACTTTTCTTCTCAACCTCATTGAATTTTGAAATCAATGCATTTCTATCCTTTTCAAAAGATTTACTTTGAGTGTCTAAAATCTTTTTCAAATTTGTGTTGTCGTTTTTCAAAGACTCAACAATCTTGTGGAAATCATTCTTCTTGAGAAGAGGATTTTCAAGAAATAAGTCATCAAAAGATTTTTGTAGCTCTTCCTTTTTTAGGGTAGCTTCATCAAGAGCATTTTATAAACCTTCTTTTTCATTTAAAAGAGAAGCAATGGTCTTTTTAAGGCTAGCATTTTTTGCACTCATTTTTCTAGATTCCTCATAAAGTTCATCAAATGCATCTTGTAATTCTTCTAAAGAATTAAGTTCATCATTAGGTATGGATTGAGAGTTTACCTCTTGAGTGTCTTCTTCTTTGGTCATGAGACATAAGTTTGCCACTTCAGAGTCACTTGATTCCTCGTCTGAGCTGTCATCACTCCAAGTTGTCACCAGGGCTTTTTTACTCTTTTTTTCTTTTGCTTTGAGACTTTTCGCATTGCCAAAAGGACATTCAAACTTCACATGTCCAGGCTTCTTACAGCGATAGCATATGATTTTGTCCTTCTTGTTTGAATCCCTCTTGTATTTATCACTTCTGTTGTTCCTTTTTAGTCCTCCTTGCTTCTTGAAATTTTCTTTCTTCAAGAACTTTTTAAATTTCTTGGTGAGCATCACAATATCCTCATCTAAGTCACCTTCCTCCTCACCTTCACTGTGTTGAGTAGCCTTGAGTGCAATGGTCTTTTTCTTTTTATTGTCCTCCTCACTATCATAGTCCTTCATAGCCATCTCATGAGTGAGAAGTTTCCCTTAAAGCACTTCAGTTGTCATATGACTCAAGTTGTGAGCTTCTTCAATGGTTGTGCGGATGTTGCTCCAAGCCTTGGGGAGCGACCTTAGGATCTTTCTCACCTTTTCCTCTTCTAAGTATACCTTATCAAAATAAACAAGCTCATTAGTGATTTTTGTAAATCGAGTAAACATAGATTTAATATCTTCATATGGGTTCATTTTAAATAGTTCATATTGGTGGACAAGCCCATTCATTTTGCTCTTTCGCACTTTGTTAGTGCCTTCGTGAGCAACTTCCAGCTTGTCCCAAATTTCCTTGGCACTCACACACGCACTAATGCGATCAAACTCAGATAGGTGTAAAACACAATATAAAGCAGTTATAGCCTTGGCATTTAACTGAATTTTTTCTTTATCATTTTTGTCAAACTCTTCAGGTCTCTTCAGGATCATGTTTTCTGACTATTCGCTCTTTCTCTTCATTCGAACATAGGGGCCATCTCAAGCCACCTCCCACATTAGGTAATCTGACCCTTGCATAAAGACCCTCATCCTATTCTTCCAATAGGCATAGTTTGTTCCATTGAAAAGAGGAGGACAAGTGGTTGATTGTCCTTCAAAAAACATGGAAGTTTTGAGCTACCATAATCAAAACTCAATAAAATGATTTAAGAATTTAAAATCAAAACTTTTGAGCTGAGGCTCTGATACCAATTGTTGGCCCAGATGGCAACCCAAGAGGGAGGGTGAATTGGGTTTCAAAAACCCTATGTAATTTTTGAATAAAGCAATGATCAAGCACAAACAATCAATTAGCTATTGTAAACTAAATTGCAAGAATTAAAAGAGTAGGGTAAGAAATATCAAACGCTTCGATTTATCTTGGTTCATTACCCTCTTTGGTGCCTACATCCAGTTCTCGAGTTTTCTATGCTCGAGATTTAATCCACTAACACTAGCTTCAACGGGTGCTAGTGAAACCAATTACAATAGCTTGTTGGTGCTATCAACCGTTTGACTCCTTGTTACAAATCTCTCAACCTGTCCTATACCTCAAGGATGGATTTCTAAATCTAACAGGGTTTTCCCAATCCCTCTCTCATTTGTTACAATGAAAGAGAACAAGCAAAGTAAGAGAATTCTCAAAACACAAGGTAAAAGCTTAACGCTTTTGGTTTTTCAACTTCAGGGCTTTGTTCTCTTTTTTCTCTACTCTTCCCGATCTGATTTTGTATTACTTGAGAGTGCTAAACCAATACTTTTTACCGTTGGAGAATATTCTGCATAAATACTTCAAAAACCAAAATTATACGGTGGAATGCACTTTCCATTTTTGGTTTCCCACAACAAGAAAACATAATCATACAATTAAATGGGCTTTCTCTAAAAAGGAAAACACATTCAAATTAAATATTTAATAATAAATCATAAATTCACAATTAACTTTCAATCCAAATCAATAACATATCTTAATTTACTGGCAAATAAAATAAATATTCTAATTCACATTTGGTTTTTTGAAATCATCAAAATCAAGAATAACATAAACCACATTCACGAGTAAATTCTAGTTATGAAGTTTTCTTTCTAACCATGGCATAAATTCAAGGTAAAGTAAAAAAACCTGAAAAAAAAAAGAAGAAAATCATAAAATGGTTAAAGCTGAAATCTTAATCAACAAAAATTAGAATCACCTTCATCATGGTCTGACTTACGTGGTAAAAGCCCAAAGAATGGCATGAGAGTGCAATCACAACTTTATGCTATTATTATTAAATTTCTTTCGCGTTTGTCTTTTTAGTAACTTATTAATTTTTTTAGGCATTTAAGTTGCTTTCAAGTGAATTTTTATATATTTTGAAATTAATTTATTTTTAAATAATTTTAAATATATATTTCACATTAATTTAGCGTATTTAATTTTTTTTAAATATTAATTTTAAAAATTAAACTTGATTTTGACTTGCATTATTGGTAATAATAATTGAAGCTTTTAATAAATTATAGAAAAAAAAAA